CACTTCATACAATAACACGAAATCAATTAACACGACATAATAACACTTCATACAATAACACGAAATCAATTAACACGACATAATAACACTTCATACAATAACACGAAATAAATTAACACGACATAATAACACTTCATACAATAACACGAAATATATCAACACGACATAATAACACTTCAAATAACACGAAATATTAACACAACATAATAACACTTCATAAAATAACACGAACTAGACCACAATCCTTTGGGACTCGAAGACAGATGCGACACAGCACGTGACAGGATGGACCACGAAGATGGGACGCGGAATCCAAGCACGGCTTTCAATAACACGAACCCCGCTCACCACGAATCCTTACTAACACGGAAACCATTAAACAGGCAAACCAAAAACAAAACACAAACACAAACAATCAAACAAAAAACAAAAAGACAACAGCAAACCGAAAATCACAAAGAAACCACAAAAACACAAAAACAAACAAACAAACAAACCAAGAAGCACCGTGGCCAAGTACACCAGACCCGCACCAGACCCGGACGCGACCCGCGTTTTGGCCCGTGCACGACCCGGCATGACAGAGCACCATCTTTAGTAGTTAATGGCCCTGGACAACTACTCAGCTCCTCACACAGCACGCCACGCTCCCCGACTCAATCCGTCCATCCGAGCTCTGCCAGCCACACAGAGCCCCAAAACCCCCACAACCCCAAAAAAGTCCAAAAACCCCTGAAAACCCCGGGCCGTCCCCCCGCGTTCCCAGCAGCTGCCAGCAGCCCCTTGGATACCCGCCCAGCAGGGTCTCGGAACATGACTCTGCACGGGCTTTGTGCGCCCAACACGGCCATCGTGGACTTTGCGTACGCCACGACCCACCCGCTCAGATTGGGCAACTTTCCCGTGAGCAAACACTCGCTGGTGGCCAGCGACCTGGATTTCTACGAGGACCCGCGCTACGAGTCGTACTCGCCGGACGAAATCAACCTGCGGGCCGTGGCGCTTTTCGACTTTGTGCCGGAAAACGACAACGAGGTGCCCTTGACCGAGGGCAAGGAGATCTGGGTCTCGTACCGACACGGCCAGGGCTGGCTCGTGGCCGAGGACCCGGAGACCGGCGAGAACGGGCTTGTGCCCGAGGAGTACGTGGCGATTCTTGCCGCACATGAGCCCGCGGACGAGCCCCAGCCGTTCTTGCCGCATATCCTACAAGGGCCGGCGGAAGAAGCCGGTGCCAGTGTGCAGAAACACACCCAACAGGCACTGCAAGCCGAGGACGACGAGTGGGAGGACACGGACGGCGAGGGGCCGGACCACGACGGCCTACATTGCCTCGGCTCGGAAATGGCCCAGTTGGGCGTGTCGTGAGGCCAGTGCGCATGAAGACTTTTCCCCGGCCCGCTGTAGAAAGCGCAGCGGGAGCCAGGCACGGATTCCTGGCTCCTGGCTGTCCATGGTGTCTTTCAAAAGACGGTTTCAATTTGCGGCTGGCGGTGGCTCGCAACTCGTGTGCTCCAGGACACGCGCACGAGACATGGGCCCACGGCAGCCGAGGAACAAGAGTGCGAGGAGAAAGTGAGAGGAATTAGGGGAGGAAGCGAAAGGAGGAAGCGAAAGGAGGAAGTGAAAGGAGGATGCGAAAGAGCAGAGGGATATCACCCCAGAATCAACGAGAAACGTCACGGCGAAGTCCGACCAGAACATGTATATGCTGGGCTTTTGTTGGCGATGCCGGGTCATGTGCTCGGGCCCGTTGCCCAGACACGGCTGTGCCGGGAACAGAAGCCCGGAGGCTCGGGGCGCCGTGTCGGAGCGTCCAGATGTGGCTTGGTTTCTGGTTTGATTTCTGGTTTGATTTCTGGTTTGATTTCTGGTTTGATTTCTGGTTTGATTTCTGGTTTGATTTCTGGTTTGATTTCTGGTTTGATTTCTGGTTTGATTTCTGGT